AACCCTTTGGGGGAACATTCAAGAACCAAACTGCTGCAAGGAAACAGCTGTTGTCATGTAAGTATAGAATGCTTCCCCCCATGACTTTTGTAGACTCCTGTTCTCCTTCCCTAAACTCTGGCAAATACTGATCTATCTATATAGTTTTTGCCATTTCCAGGATGTCATTATACAGAGACAACATGATTAACAAATTAGGTGATGGATTGTGGTGGTTTGAGTAAAAATAGCCCCCATAGGCTCATATATTTGAAGGTTTAGTCATTGCGGAGTGACACTATTTAGGAAGAATTAGGGGGCGTGGCTTTACTGGAGTAGGTGTGGTCTTTTAGAGGAAGTATGCCACTAGGTGTGGAATTTAAGGGTTCAAAAGCTCTTGCCAGACCCGGTCTCTCACTCTCTGCCTCTGGATGAGGGTATAGCTCTCAGCTCGTGCCCCAGAACCATACATGCCACCATGCTCTCTGCATGGTCATGATGGACTGCCCCTCTGAAACTGTAAACAAGTCCCCAGTTAAATGTTTTCTTTTATTAAAGTTGCTGTGGTCATGGTGTCCTGTCACAGCATAGAACAGCGACTAAGACAAAAATCGAATTGGTTTTTATCTGTACTTCATTATTTAGGGCAGTTTCCATTTTACAAAACAGAATGAGATCTCCAACTGGGCAGTAGGATTTGTGGACTGGACAAGATGGCTTGGTGGTTTAGAGAACTGACTGCTCACACAGAGGACCCGGGTTCAATTCCAGCACCATGGCTTACGACTGCCTGAAACTCCAGGTCCAGGGGACCTAATGCCTTCTCCACACAGCTTGCTTTAGGGTTTTGTGTATTGTTTTCCACATTTTTCTTTTCTGCTTCTGTGCACACATGAAGGTCAAAGACAACTTACAGGTGTCAGCATTCTATTCTGTGGGGTCTGTGGATCAAGTTTGGCAGTCAGGGCCTCTTCCTGTTGAAACATCTCCCTGGCCCCCAGGTTGTTGTTTTACCAGGGTTAAAGCAGGCAAATCCTCTACCACAAAAATAAAGCCTCAACGTTATTCCTCTACCCTCTTCACTGAAAAACTGGATAATAAATTGTCAGGAGCACCAAGGTCCTTGCCTTAACCAATAACACTAAGGGAAATAGGAATGTTAACCAGACAAGGTTGTCTTTTCAAGGAAAACATGTATAGCCTGTTTTCTACCCAGAAACCTGGGAATAGGGGTGGCTTATAATCCTGGTAATCCCTGTGCTAGCTGTAGCTCCTTCAATCAGGACAGGAGGAGGCTAATAGTCTAGATGACCTCTGCATTATCTCCATGGCCAAGGGCTCCCCCAAGCAGGAGAGATTGTTAATGATCTAAGTGACCCCAGTGACCTCTGTGCTAACTGTATGACCAGGACCACACCAGATTCTCCTGTAGGCCTGTGAGATAACACATACAGCCCGTCTCTAGACCCCATCGTGAGGGAAGAAGTAGCTGTAGTTTTGAGAAGAGTTTTGATGTAATTATGCCTCCTCATGCACAGTCGATTGTGTTACACCAGGAAACTGTTTATCCAAATTGTACTGTACTTAAATATGCCTAAAATAAACTGCCCAGTGTTAGACTCTCAAAGTTTGAACCAATACCAGCTACTGCGCCATGTTGAATCAGACTGCCTTCTTGCCACATGCAGATGTTACTGTTAGCCATGGCGTTTATAGGAACCCCCACAATGAGTAACAGAAATGTCTGTGGGCTTGTTCAACTCAGGGCTGAAAGAAGGCTCACATGGACCTACGGAAACAGCAGCATGACCTGGTTGAATTTTTTTTTCTGCCTTTCTTTCAGAGTTTTATGTATGTTCTGATAAGTCAAATAGGACCATTTTTCATTGTGGGGGAAGATCATTGGAACAGAATGAACAATCCAGTAATTTTAACTGTGTGGTGAGCAACTGTTGTAAACAAAGTCCCTCGCTCCCTGGTGACCTACTGGCAGACAATTAACAGTAACGATCATAAAGAGTTCCTGTATGCACCTATTGTTGGGCCCTCAGATGCTGGCAGTCAGCCACCACACTGCAGAGCGGGGTCAGACACTCTGGGAACGTGTGGTTGGTTAGGTGGTGTGGGAGGTCCTCTGTCTACGTGTTGCTTTTATTGGTTAATGAATAAAGAACTGCTCTGAGCCTATGGCAAAGGCAGAACAGAACTAGGCACGAAAAGCTAGGCTGTCTGCTGGGAGAAAGAGGGCAAAGTCAGAGAGAAGCCACAGAGCCACTGGAGACAGACGCTGGGAACTTTACCCAGTAAGCTACAGCCATGTGGTGATACACAGATGAATAGAAATGGGTTAAATTCATATGTAAGAGTTAGCCAATAAAAAGCTAGAGCTAATGGGACAAGACGTGATTTAATTAATATAGTTTCTGTGTGATTATTTTGGGTCTAAGTTAGCCACGCGGCTGGAAACCAACAGGTGGCCTTCCTTCAACAGTTAGGTATGGAGACAGATTCAAACACTTGCCAGGCTTCTGACCCTAAGGAAACCATGGTGATCTGTCTTTTCTTTTCTGGAGTTTTCCCTTGAAACCATAAGTTTTCCCTCTACTTTTCCTGAATTCTAATACTTCATGACAAACATCCATATTTGCTAGTTTGTTGTGTCTTTACTGCTAGGGTTATTTTGAGTTTTGTTCATAACAGTTACATATATAGAGATCCAAGTTGATCAAACATCTACATTATTGCACTAAAATGTTGAGCCAACTGTTACAGAAGTTGTTAATGTTTTCTTATTGTTCTTAGGTGGTTATGGCTGGGGTTCTAGCTCAGTGGTAGGACTCTTGCCTAGCATTTGGGGAGCCCTGGGTTTAAACCCCATTGTTGAATGTAAAAAGCTAGACAGTCTTGTTGTTTTTAATCCACTGTGGTAGCCAGCTTCAAGGATGACCCTGGATAGCTCCATCTTTCCTGCCTTTCCTGGATCTGACCAGTGTAACAGGTGGAGTGATGGAGTCTGGCTCCTGAGGCTGTTAAAGGCATCAGAGCCAATGAGTCCCCAAGACAGCCAATCAGCCAAATGGAAGGATGAATGTGTTAAGAAACCAAGGCTTCAACAGTCACGTGAGTTACCAAAGAATGGGACCCAGGCAGGGCCTGGATGACCATGCTGACCGTTCTCATAGAGGTTATACTGAGTCGGGGCTACTCAAGCAAATGTTCTCAGATTCCCTACCCACAGAAGGTTTAATAAATGCTTATGGCTTTTTGTTGCTGTTGTTTTCAAGACAGGGCTTCTCTGCAACTGCTCTGGCTGTCCTGGAACTCACTTTGTAGACCAGGCTGGCATTGAACTCAGAGATCTGCCCGCCTTGGTCTCCCACGTGCTGGCATTAAAGCTGTACTGGTTCAGATCTGATGTCTGGGTTGAAGGCTCAGTAGTAAATGTATTTGTTGCTCCTACAGAAGACCTAAGTTCAGTTCCCAGAATAATCCACTTTGGGCAGTTCACAGTTGCCTGTGATTTCAGGTCCATGGGGATCAGATACCTCTTCTGGCCTTCGAAGGTACATGCACTATGTGCAATTCACACACACACACACACACACACACACACACACACACACACACAACAGCTTGACTGTGCTGGTGTACATCTGCAGCTCTGTAACTTCAGAGACTGATGTGGGATGATCAGGAGCTGGAGGCCATCCTGGCCTACAATGACAAGATATTATCTCCGAAAACCAGAGGCTAGCAATGGAGTGTAGAGGCGGAACACCTGCCTGGCAAAAATAAATACATAAACATCACTTCTGCTGCTTGGCTTGGTACTCCAGGGCTTGGTGAACTTGCTCTGGAGTGACCCGAATCTGGGAAAAACCAGCTGGTATCAGAACAAACATTAAGAGCCACAAAACCACGGAGCCATTTTAGTGAATGTGCCCTTTCTTAAAAACACTTATTCCCTTACACAAAAGATTAGTCACCCGTAGTAATCACTTTCTACCTTACTGGCTTTGGCAAGTATGAAGAAGTTTTCAGTGTCTCACACATAACGTTGTCACTCCTAGGACTTGAAAAAAGGTCACCTCAGTCGGGTATGTCCAAACTCAACTTCCTCCTCTCCTTTGCTCGGCATAGTCAATCAGTCATCACGCTGTGTCACGTCTGTTTCCGAAACGTACTTTAAATCACTTCCTCGTTTCCTATTCTACCATTCTGCTCACTGAGGCGGTCTCTTATCTAGCATGGTCTATGGGCCTAGCCAACTGAGTCACCGTGCTTTTCTCAGTATGGCTGTTAAAGACGCTGGTGCCATCCAGCTACCACAAGAACTTTTTCTTCTTCTTTAAATGCAGGGGGCTGGTGAGATGGCTCAGGAGGTAAGGGCACTTGTGGCCCAACCTGATGACGTCAGGACCCACACCATGGAAGGAGAGAACTCACTCCTGCAAGATGTCCTCTGGGATCCACCTGCACTCAGTGGCGCTTGCGAGTATAAACAAGTAATACATGTAAAAGAATATAAAGTTCCCACGCCACCTGGATTCTACGATAGATTAAGAAATGACTTTCAGATCAAAATTCCTGCAGCAGTGCCAAGAGCATCGGTTTAGACTTGGGTGGGTTGTTGAATCAAAAGCAGACGGCAGGTGGCAGGAGTCCTCCCTTCCTCCTCTAGGCGTGCCTTTCAACCTGTGGCCCCATTTTCTGTTTCTGGAGATGCAATTGAAGGAGCAGAACGAATTCCATTTTAGACAGAGCCTCACTAGGGGATGAATGCAGCCCCAGCAAAGTCATAAACATTCCCAAGAAACTGTGCCAGCCCTGGTCAAAGTGACCCCACCAGGATGTCCAAACAATATCTGGCTTCAAACGCCCCAGGAGGTATCTGATTAACCTCTGTTTTAAAATTCTTGTCTGCTAACTGTCACTGTTTTGAAATTCCCCTATACCCCAACCAACGAATTCAAAAGTTGTATACTTTTTTTTTTAAAGATATATTTATTTATTATGTATACAACTTTCTGCCTCCATGTATACCCAAACGCCAGAGGAGGGCGCCAGATCTCATTACAGATGATTTAGAGCCACCATGTGGTTGCTGGGAATTGAACTCAGGACCTCTGGAAGAGCAGACGGCGCTCTTAACCACTGAGCCATCTCTCCAGCCCCCTAAAAGTTGTATACTTTTACCCAATCCTGAAACGCCAAGGCTTGTGCCACTCTGATTGTGGTCTTTCCCTTTAAAAAGCCCTTACCCTGAAGCTCAGGGGCTTTTCTTCCCCACCTGATGTGTCTGCGTGTAGGATTAAAGTCCAAGTTAGCAAGTTTGTAATCAGTAAACCCCAATGTGTTAACTGAGGAGGAGATGTAAAAGGGGAGAAAAAAGCTGTTTCCAAAAAGTACCCATGCTGTTCTTAGGAGTGCAAGTCTTTCGGTCACTTAAAAGTTAGAGAGGAGGGGAAATATTGTCAGGCTAGGACTCAACATCTCCCACGAAAAGGCAACTAATCACACTATCTAAGATGCTTTCCCCAGGTCCTCGGGTGCCCTGGCAATACAAGCAAGCATCCACAACTGCAGACAAACTGCCCGAAAGGACAGGGACTCACCAATGACATTAAAACCTACACAACAGCAAATTCCTAACTTGGCATCTGGTCCACCCGCTAGTTTCTTATTAGTATGGTTCCCGTGAATTTGCCAACACCGGTCTGTTCCTGGAACTTCCTATTCCAATGCCATACAGGCAACAGACCAGATTATCAGGGGTCAAAGTCCTAGTCACTAGAGTTTAGTGGGAAAGATTCATAACTAGATTTTGGTTTCCATTCAACACCCTTCCGCACTCTTTCTCTCCGCTCCAGCGCCCTAGGATGATCACCCTGTCCCAGGCGCTGGCAGGTGACAGCAGCAGCTGTGGTAGGTGACAGCAGCAGCTGTGGTCGGGTGAGATGACCCTTTCTAACACTCTAGGTGGTGCTCTGGCGCCGGGATCACGCTCCTCCCACAAGCAGACGCGTGGGAGCCTAGAGGCCGTTCTTTCTAAAGCCGACGAGTTCATCGAGTTTCGGGAGAGCGCTCCACGAGCTGGATCTGAAGGCCACCTGACCATGAGCGTCCCGCTGCGATCCGGCCCGAGCTCCTGGCGGCGGGCAGGCACCGTGGTGCTGGCCGCAGCCCGGGGTCCCGCCGCCCGTCAGTCCGCTGACAGCTTCCGGCTGCTGTTTCTCCAGCGCTCCCAGAACCAGCGCTTCTTGCCGGGCGCGCACGTCTTCCCGGGCGGTGTGCTGCACGCCGCCGATAGCTCGGCCGACTGGCTGCGACTCTTCGCGCCTCGGCACACGCCGCCGCGTTTCGGCCTGGGCCCGGCGCCGCCTTCGCAACTCCCTTTTCCGGGACTGCTCTACGAGGACGACGGCGCCGGCGCTGGGGCGCTGCCTGATGATGTGGCGCTGCGCATCTGCGCCATCCGCGAGACCTTCGAGGAGGCTGGGGTGCTGCTGCTGAGACCTCGGAGCTCGCCCCCCGCTTCTCAGGAGCCCGGTCTGGCGCTGCCGCCTCCGCCCGGCCTGGGCGACTGGCGCTCGCGCGTGCGCAGTGACCCGCGCCACTTCCTCCAGCTGTGCGAGCACCTTGACTGCACGCCCGACATCTGGGCTCTGAGCAACTGGGGCGGCTGGCTCACGCCGGTCGGGGGCGGCAGACGCCGCTTCGACACCACCTTCCACCTGTGCTGCCTGCGCGAGACCCCGCGCGTGGAGCCCGACATGACCGAGGTGGTGGGCTACAAGGTAGGGGTCGCGAAACCCGCGGGCTGCCCTGAGCACCTCCGCAGACTCAAGGCATGACCCTGCTGGAGACGGTTGAGGATTCAGCTCTCACCCTATGGGGTTCCCTGCTGGAGACGGTCGAGGATTCAGCTCTCACCCTATGGGGGTCACTCTGGCAGAGCTTCCACTGCCTGTTCTGCAAACTTCACAATGATTCATTCGCTTCAGTCCCTAATGGTTGTAATTCGGTTTCTAGAACATATTACAAGATTTCAGCCCTATCAACTTTCTTCTGCCCCACCCCCTTATTTGTATCACTAGCACCAGGCACAGTTATGTTTCAGGCATCTTTCCTGCATTTGACATGTCTTGGAGTTTTTGATTACATGTTAGCACTTTTTTTTTTTTTAGTTGTTGACTGCTGAGTTTTGTTCTAGTCTTTTAAACAGTGTTTCATTTTTCCCGACAGGTAGTTAAGTTATTAGAGATTATTCTTTTAAGGTTTATCTTAAATGGTTTGGGGAGGGGGGGTCTACAGTCTATTCTGGAGCTAATTTGGCTACAGTTCCATTGTGTGACCCTCTTCTGGCCCCTTGAGTGCCCGAGTACTGGCTACATTTAATTAAGGCTTTCCTGCTGTGGGCAATACGCTGCTGGAGAAAATTGGAAAAAAAATCTTGGCTCCAGGTAAACATGAAGTTTAGTCGGGAACCCCCCAGGTGGCCACTCTTTCCTCAGAAGTAGCCATCGTCTCTGCTAGCATATGGTTCTACTCTGTGCACTAAATACGTAATAGAGTTTTGGGGTTCAATTTTGTGTAGACCTTCTCAGGCACACTGCTCACCCAATACTACCCCACGTGATCCTCCAAATTCTGATCTGTGTCTGCTTGAGTCAATAAGACTTAGATGTTGCTCAGGTTCCCCCACTGTTCTGTGGTCTGGGATGACTTTACGCAGAAGCCCTAGGCGAGTGGTAGGTCTCACTAGATTCTCTTATTTATTTGCTTACAGTTCGGCCATTTTTGGTGTTTGGAAATAAATTTTATTAAGTTGTCGTGTGGTGCGGGAGTTTAGTTCTCAGGGCTGAGAGGATTTTTTTTTCAATTATTTTTACTAATTGTCAGCATTCTAACTTGCATTATTAATGCTTTTAATATTATTATTTAATAACTGTGGCTTGATTGTTATTATTTTGCCCTTCAGCATGCCTGCAGCTGACCATGGAGGCCAGAAGAGGGTGTTGAATTGTCTAGAGCTTGAGTTATGGGTGATCGTGAGTTGCCCAGTGTGGTGCTGGGAACCCAACTCTGGTCCTCTGGAAAAGCAGCGGCTGCTTTTTTTTAGCCACCGAACCATCTCTCCAGCCACCAGTTCTTTCTTTCTGAGACAGGATCTCACTATGTTGCCCAGGTGGGCCTTCATCTCCTGGACTCGAGCAATTTTCCAGGTTCCACCTCCTGAGTAAGCCGGCCCGGTAGGGACTTGGCAGCAACCGGGCCTCTGAATGTCCTCAGGCTCCCTGAGAGATCTAGCAAGGCCTCCGGATACATTAGCTTTCCCATCAAATAGGTCTTGTATACCCATCTAGCCACCTCAGACCTGGCCGGTGGCGGGACACACACACACACACACACACACACACACACACACACACTCACAAAGCTGCTTCCTCTGTCCCTACAGTGGTTGTCTCCATCAGAGGCCACGGAGTGTTTCCTGTCCAAAGAAATCTGGCTGGCGCCACCACAGTTCTACGAGATGAGAAGACTTGAAACTTTCGCCTCTCTCTCCGCTCTGTACAGCTTTTCCTCAGCTCGCCCCTTCGACATGACTCAGAAATGGATGCCGATAATCCTGTCCACTGCTGATGCCTCCATCATGCTCCTCCCAGGTGAGGCGGGGAAGGGCCGGTGCTCTCCTTAGTGTCCACGTTTGCTGCCAGCAGAGGTGGGGGTGATAGCCCGTTTCACAGCCTAGGCCTGTGGGTGTGGCCAACATCTGGCTTACAGGCGACGCGTATCCCCTGATAGTTAACATGCAATCCAACACAAAATCATAAGCTTCTTTAAACCACTGAGGTTTTTGTTTTTTAAACTTTTTTTTTTTTTTTGTAATTTAGCTGTGTGGTTCTCAGACATAAACTTTGTAATATCAAGAGATTTACCATGCTTGGTGGAATATTAATTAAAAGAAGGGGAAAGTCCTAACATACACAGATTATCTAGTTTTGTTCTGTTCCTATGACAAATATCATGACCAAAAGCAACTTTGGGGAAGTAGGGGTTTATTTCGGATTATGGGTTATGGTTTGTCATTGAGAGAGGCGAAGGGAGAAACCTGAAGGCAGGCTTTCAAGCATTACACATAGCCTTGCTTTCAACCAAGGAACGCGCTTCACAGCCAGAGAGGAGCATCAGGGACCCTGGAGGATTCGACTGACTAGCTGGCTCACAAAGGACTCTGGTTAGCTAGCTTTATTATTCCATCTGGGGCTCGCTGACTAAGGGATGGTGCTGCCCACAGTGGGCTGGCCTCATCTATATCAAACAACATTCAGGACAATCCTCCACAGGCCAATATGATCTGGGCAGTCCTTCAATTAAGACTCTTTCTCAGGTGACCGTAGGAAGCATGGTTTTTGATAATTAAAGCTAACTGTAGGACACATAGTGTTTGTTTTTTTATTTATTTTTGAAACAAGGTCTAACTATAGATCTTAGGCTGACGTAGAACTTCCTGTGTATCCCAGGCTAGCCTCAAACTTACAATTCTCCTGCCTTCATCACCCCTGTGCTGGGATCAAGGGTGTGTCAGTGTGCACAAACCCATGTTTATTATAACTTGGGAGTCTGAGTTTATAAACTTGCATACACACACACACACACACACACATATTTCCTAGGCATGAACAAAATTCTTTTCTCATGCGTTTTTATCTCACTTTTCCTTTAGTTTTCCTAGACAACGTTTCTCTGCTTAGCCCCAGCTGTCCTGGAACTCACTCTGTAGACCAGGTTGGCCCCAAGTCACTTTTACATTTTTATTTCAATTATGAGAACTTGTGAACTGTTAGCTCATTTGAATCAGGAGACTTGTTGGTGGCCAGTTACAGTTTGGCAGACACTGATTCGTGCTGTAGCAGGCAGGCACTATGTGACTGCCATATTCCGTATCTGCCTCTTCAGTTTCAGATAATACCAATGAGATTTGTTACTCACCCACAGAGGGACAGTTTAGCAGCTTTGAAAAAGAACACGTATTTTTACCTGGTATGTGAGTGTTGCCTACATGCGCGGCACCTGTGTGTCTCGTATCTGCAGAGGTCAGAGGAGGACATCAGATCCCCGGACCTGGAGTCGCACGTGGTAATGAGCTGTAATGTGGGTGCTAGGAACTGAGCCCGGGTGCTCAGAAGAGCACCTAATGTTTCTAACCCCTGAGCCATCTCTCCAAGCACTAACAGTTTTCCTATAAGGAGCCATGGACTCTAACCTGAAAAACCTATGACGCAGCTAGGTCAGGCCAACTCCATGGTTCCCTGATCCCTGAATCAAAAACTAACGTGGAACCGGGTGGGGGTGGTGCAGCCTTTAGTCCCAGCACTTGGGAGGCAGAGGCAGGCAGATCTGTGTGCTCTACAGAGCTAGTTCCCAGACAGCTAGGGCTGTCACGGAGAAACGCTTAGTCTCAAAAACCCTAAATAAATAAATAAACAAACAAACAAATAAATAAATCCTGAAACACCTAAGGTGGAAAATGATTGAGAAAGATAGATTAAGAGTTTGAATCCCCTGGACCCTGGACCGGGACGAAGAGCCGCGGCAGGCACCTGTAACTCCAGCATTGTAATGGCGGGTGGGAGGCAGAGACAGGCAGATCTGTGGAAGTTCAGGGGTCAGCTAGCCTGGCCTAGCTGGTGATGTTCCAGGCCAGTAGGAAGCCCCATCTGAAACGAAAGGTGGGGAAAGTTCTGGAGGAACAATCCCTGAAGTTGTCCTCTGGCCTCCGTAAGGTCCAAGTTCCTGTAATCGCGCATGCTCACTTGTTGGAGGGAGAGACCCGACTCTGGCAGGCTGCTCTCTGACCTCTACTTGCGTGAATACACATACCCACATGTGCACACACACGTGCACGAGCGTGCACACACCTCTTTCTCCCCTTTTCTTTCTTTCTTTCTCTCTCAAATGTAATAAAAACCTGAAACTGGGTAAGAAAGAGTCTCAGCGGTTCGAGGCTATGCTGCTGGTTCTGAGTTTGGTTCCCTGCACCCATGTCTGACACTACACATATGCGCGCACGCACACACACACACACACACACACACACGCACGCACACACACTATGGATTAACAATAATCACAGGATCTGGTTCAGTTCCCAATACCCACGTCAGGCAGTACACATACATGGGTTAATAATAATCAGAGGATCTGGGTTCGGTTCCCAGTATCAGGCAGTGCACACACACATACCATGGATCAATAATAAATTTAAAAGTAAATTAAAAGTAACAACAAGAAAAGCTAACTAAGCTTCAACATGAAATACATACAAAAGACACTGGTTCATGTCATTAATCTATTGGGGTAATTTATGAGGCAGTGTTTGTGGAAATGAAGTTTTACTGTTTTTCAGGAGATGAACTGTATGTGAAAGATGCAGATTTCATAGAAAACCCAATGTCTACTGACAAAAAGACTGAAGAGATCGTGAAGGAAGGCAAAGTCGTTCACCGATTGGTGCGCCGCAATCCCCACCTCTATGAGCTCTATGTGTCTCTCCGGTCAAATCAGCACGTGTACCCTAAGAACTTTGCAGTGGACGCGAGCCTGACCTCCCGTTTGTAAAGCTGCTTGACTTGTGAGGGTCGCCTGAACTTGCCAGACGCAGAAGGAACGTGCCTGCGAACGGGACAGCAAGTTGTTGCCTGTGTCACGCATGTTGTGGGCTCCTCTGCCAGTCCTCAAGCTGCACAGCAAGCCACATATGAGACGTATGATGTATTTCTAGTACCTTGTTACTGAGATAAATGCTTTCGCAGATGGTTGTCTTTCCTGTCTTATTAGCTTAAACATTTAAAAGGGGGTCTCCTGCCGTCGCCTTTGTTGTTGTTGGTTTTCCAAGGCAAGGTTTCTCTATATAATAGCCCTGGCTGAACCGGGCGGTGGTGGCGCACGCCTTTAATCCCAGCACTTGGGAGGCAGAGGCAGGCGGATCTCTGTGAGTTCAAGACCAGCCTGGTCTACAAGAGCTAGTTCCAGGACAGGCTCCAAAACCATAGAGAAACCCTGTCTCGAAAAAGCAAAAAAAAAAAAAAATAGCCCTGGCTGTCCGGGAACTCACTCTGTAGACCAGGCTGGCCTTGAACTCCAAGATCTGCCGGCCTTTGTCTCCTAAATGCTGGGATTAAAGGCATGCCCCGCCACTGCCTTCCGGTTCTCCTGCCGTCTTTTGATTGTCCCACACGTCAGCAAGTTTCCTGATGTGCGGTGGAAACCGAGTCCTGGGTCTCTTAGACTCTGGGCAGGAATTAATTCAGGGGTACCTAATTAGATGTTGTTACGATTTGAATGTGGGACTTCTGCACATGGTCCATAGCTAGTAGCCCTGTTTTGGCAGGTTGTGAGAACTGAGGGGCAGGCTTTAACCAGAAAAAAGTGGGCTGCTGGCACGGGTGGGTCTTGAGGGACTGAGTCCCACCTCTGTTCCAGAAGAATTCTGTTTTCCAGTCTGAGGAGATGTGACCAGAGTCTCAGGTCTCTGCCTCCACGAAAGTCGCATTGCCCTCAGCGCCATGACACCAGCTGAAATAAACCCTGCTCTCTAAATTGTCTCTGTGAGGCACTTGATCATAGCAAGGAAGGCAGTAATGCAAAGAAACAGTGGTTGAGGCATCCTTCAAGAGTGAGTCATGCCCTTGCCACGCACTTAACTTGATAATTAACATCCATGGCCTGCACCTTTAACCCCAGCCCTGGGGAGGCAGAGGCAGATGGATCTCTGTGAGTTCGAGGCCAGCCTGGTCTAACAAGCGAGTTCCAGGACTGTTATAGAGAAACCCTGTCTCTAAAAAACAAAACAAAACAAAACAAAGAAAAACCCATACAGTATTTCTCTCAAAACCAAGAAGCATTCATTTTGACATCTAAATTTTATTTTTTTATTAAACTTCGTTCTATGCTGGTGCACACACATGAGTGTGTGCCACGGAACAGTGGCATGCCCTGGAGGGCAGAGAACAACTTACAAGAGCCTTTCTTCTTTCCCGCTGCGTGTGGGTCTGGCCGATCGAGCTCAGGGCCCACACTTGCCAGGCCATCTTCCTGGTCCCATGTCTCCCAAGTTTTAAAGACTTAGGAACCGTTACAGAACACAGGCTGAGACGATAGCTCAGCAGGTCAAGGCACTGACTGCGCATGCCCAGTGACCTGCTTTTGGTCCCCAGAACCCAAGTAAAGGTGTGAAGAGCGGACCTACTTTTCCAAGTTGTCCCCTACCTCCACACACGTGCCATGGCGTGTGTGCCTTCGCACACATCGTGCACACACAGACACACACCGTAAAAAGTGTAAAGGCTCACCAGCCTTTGTGCACTTAGGAAGTGGATAACGACTGCAAGAGGTTGGAGAGAGAATGCTAATTTCACCGGGGTTTTAATGTGTGCTTGATGTGGGTGATTTCTTTTTGACTTTGTTAAAGACGAATGATCTTTACTGACTAAAGGTGAGAAATGATAGTTAAGGCACAATCTGTTTTGTTGTTGTTTTTGCTTTGCTTTGTTTTTTAAAGACAGGGTCTCTACAAAACCCTGGCTGTCCTGGAACCCACTGTGTAGACCAGATGGCTTCAAACTGACCAGAGATAATGCCCACTTTAGCCTCCTGAGTGTTATGAGTAAAGGTGTGTGCACCACACCTGGCAGGACACTAATTCTGTTTGTAGATCTTTGTGTTGTATGTCGTGGTGGATTTAAATTTTTACAAAAATGTCTTGATTTTCCTGCTAACACAGTAAAGGCAATAATAAATGAAGCTTTTTAAAATAAAGTGTTTTGTTCCTAAGGATGTGTGTGTGCACGCACGCGTGTGCACATATGTGTCTGTCTGCATAATTATCACATGGAGGCCAGAAGAGAGCATTGGATCCCCTGGAACTGGAGTTACTGGTGCAGGCCGCCAAACCCAAGTCCTCTGGTGTGGGGACACAAACCCAGGTTCTCTTCAAGAGCGGTAAATATTCGTAATGGTCAAACCATCTCCCCAGCCCATTCTCTGTGTTGCTTAACCACTGTTAGAGGAATAAGTGAGAAGCGCATCGATTCTAGGCTTGTTCCACACGTTCTAAGCTTGTTCCACAGGTTCTTAGCTTGTTCAAGTCTGGAAAGGTTTTCAGTTGTCACCACCGAGGAGAGGGTGATATCGCCACCTAGTGGATAGAAAGTGCAGGTACAGTAGAATAGACTGCAGTGTACAGGAGAGTGCCCCACAAGAGTTAAATTACCAGACCAGGAGTAAAATCTAACAGGCCTGGTGCTACAGATCTTGCACCTCCTGGCCTAACCCAAGCTCCTTGTTCTGCTTAGTTGTTTACTGATTCGGCCCTTCAATATCATGAACTTCCAAACCCTGGGTTTTTCCACAGTGCTGCAAGCCCGTATGTATAGACCACGTTCACCCTTCAATAAATGGCATTCTCTTAGCACAAATGACCCGCTGTGTGGTGCTTCTCAAAATCCTCAGCTCCTCGCTCGCAACTCGGCATTGCAGTAGAGCTGGCGCTACAGCAAACCATGTGTGTTACTTTTTTGTGGCATCAGGTTCTTTTTTTTTAAATACATTTTTTGTTGATATTTATTGAGCTCTACATTTTTCTCTGCTCCCCTCCCTGTCTCTCCCCTCCTCCCTTCAATCCTCCCCCAAGGTCCCCAATGCTCCCAATTTACTCAGGAGATCTTGTCTTTTTCTACTTTCTACTTCCCATGTAGATTAGATCTATGTATGTCTCTCTTAGTGTCCGCATTGTTGTCTAAGTTGTCTGGGATTGTGGTTTGTAGGCTGGCTTTCTTTGATTTATGTTTAAAAACCACCAATGAGTGAGTACATGTGATAATTGTTTTTCTGTGTCTGGGTTACCTCACTCAAAATAATGTTTTATAGCGCCATCTATTTTTCCTGCAAAATTCAAGCTGTCATCATTTTTTTCTGCTGTGTAGTACTCCACTGTGTAAATATACCACATTTTCCTTATCCATTCTTCGATCAAAGGGCATTTAGGTTGTTTCCAGGTTCTGGCTATGACAAACAAAGCTGCTATGAACATAGGTTGAGCACATGTCCTTGTGGCATGATTGAGCATCCTTTGAATATATACCCAAAAGTGGTATTACTGGGTCTTTTTGTTTTGTTTTGTTTTGTTTTTCGAGACAGGGTTTCTTTGTAGCTTTGGAGCCTGTCCTGGAACTAACTCTTGTAGACCAGGCTGGCCTCGAACTCACAGAGATCTGCCTGCCTCTACCTCCCGAGTGCTGGGATTAAAGGCATGCGCCACCACCGCCCGGCTATATTACTGGGTCTTAAGGAAGGTTGTTTCCTAATTTTCTGAGAAAATGCCACACTGACATGCAAAGAGGTTGTTCCAGCTTGCACTCCCACCAGCAATGCAGAAGTGTTCTCTTTTCCCCACAACCTCTCCAGCATAAGTTGTCATTAGTGTTTTTGATCTTGGCCATTCTTACAGGTGTAAGATGGAATCTCAGAGTTGTTTTGATTTGCATTTCTCTGATGACTAAGGATGTTGAACATTTCCTTAAGTGTCTTTCAGCCATTTTAGATTCCTTTGTTGAGAGTTCTCTGTTTAGGTCTGTACTCCATTTTTTTTATTGGATTATGTGATCTTTTGGTGTCCAATTTCTTGAGTTCTTTGTATATTTTGGAAATCAGCCCTCTGTCTGATGTGGGGTTAGTGAAGCTCTTTTCCCATTCTGTAGGCTGTCGTTTTGTCTTGAGAATCAGGTTCTTCTTATTCCAGTCCAGCTGACCTCAGTCCAGCTGACCGCAATCCGGCCTCATTCTTCTGCTGCTGGGATTACAGTTGTAAGCCACCGTGCCTGGCGTATTTGTTCCTGTGTGCCTGTACTTGCAGATGGCAGACGAAAGCCTTGTGTCATCCCTCAGTAGCCATCCACCTTGGTTTTACACATGAACTCAAAGAACGCTGTATCTACCCATTCTAAAATGAGATGAGAAATTGGGAGTTTAAAGAAGCCCCGTGTTACCACAGCAGTGAAAGACAGGTGTGGGCAGAACCCGGCTCAGGTGGTGGGGCCTTTTCTGGAATGTGGTCAGGTGGAAAGGATGCCAGGAAGCCACAAGACCTGAGTGACTGATTAGAAAAGTCCGCCATGGCTGCAAGCCCAAATCAGGCATTGACATAGGAGAGATCCAACAGAAGCGCTGTGATGGAGGATAGAAGCTGTCCCAAGTGGAGTGGAGCCCAGGCCTTCCTGGCAGGCCGTACTGCTAAAGACTTGTCTAGCATGCAGCCACTCCCTCCTGGGGGCAGGGAACGGGAGCAGAGGGACTTTGCAGTTCACCGCCCCTCCTCAGGGCGGCGCTGTAGGCAGACAGGCCGTTATCCAGGCCGTTGGCGCGCAGGTGCTTTCTAGCCTTCTCGAGGCCTGTGCGCAGGCGCAGGGTGAGCAGCACGGGCCGTTAAAGGTGCCTGCGTGGGCTTCGCGAGGACTCGGGTGCCGAGGGCCCCAGGCCACGTTGAAGTGTGCCTGTTGTCCTTGGTGAGCTGTTCCCCTCAAAGAACCGCCTTGCCAGCCTGTGTGGTTGGTGTAAGCGACTCTGCAAAAGAAGGACGAGGAGGCGTCGGCGGGATGCTGGAGGTCCTGGTGCTAAAGGTGAGGAGCACCCGCCGCCTTCCTCGAGGCGCTTCTCCACGTGTGGCTGACATCTTACCTCCCCTCCCCCCCCAGCCCAGGTGCCCGAGGCTCACTTTCAGATAAGCAAGTGACGCAGTTGCACCCCCTGGTAATGTAGGTTGCAGGTGTAGCGGCAAATGCTAATAGCCAGTATAGGAACTGGTGGAGCGTGCAGGAAAATCTCAGGAGGTTCCAGGCCAGCCTGGGCTACATACTGAGAACCTATCACATAGACACTACCTCCCCCAAATTAAATATTCACTGGTGGTCTGCTCTGTTACAACGAAATTTATCATATAAGTCTTGACCGTGTAACCAAGGTATATTCACGTATTCTAACATTTGTGGTTGTTGCCTTTGTGGGTGTGTGTGCAATTGTGCCCTGGTTCACATTTAAAGGTCAAAGGACAAGTGACCCAAGGGCTGAACTCGGGTAGTCAAAGGTGCCTTTTATTGGACCATCTTACCGGCCTTGCTTATTTTTATTAATTTGGTTTAGGGTCTTAATCTGTAGCCCTGGTTTGCTGGATACCCCCTACATAGGCCAAGATGGCCTTGAACTTGGATCCACCTGTGTTTGCCCCTCCAGTACTCAGATCAAAGTCGTGCACTACCAGCCCCAGTCATCTTTAAAAATCTGTTTTTTACTATGTGTCTGGATGTGTACACATTGAGTGTAGGCACCTTCAAAGCTGGAGTTCCAGGCAGCCATGAGTCACCCGATGTGGGTGCGGGGAACTGCCGAGAATTGAATCTGGGTTCTCTGCAAGAGCAAACAACCAACTACACTTTTAACCACAGAGCCATGTCTGCAGCCCCTCAGGCATCTTTTCACAGGATGAATCGGCTGCCTTACTGGGTTCAGTAGAAAAAGGCCGTTTCAGGTCCTCAGTCTTTTTTTTTTTTTTTTTTAAAGTGGTTCAATCTTATGGTATGGACATTGAGTCTTAGAAGCCCTCTTTCCACTCTGAAGGTCAATTCCTTTCCTGCTAAGTGATTTACAATTTTTTTTCTCCCATTTTATGGTGTGCTGGTTACTTATAATTGACACAGCCTAGAATCATCTGAGGAGAGGGTCTCAATGAGGAGTTACCGAGGTCAGGTTGGCCTATGGACACGTGAGTGGGATTGTTTTGATTGCTGATGGATGCGGGAAGCCCCAGCCCACTGTGGGCCTCTGCATTCGCTGGACCTGGCATCTGGATTGTATGATCAAGAAAGTTAGCTGAGCAGAAGTAAGCAAGGACCTAGTCCCATGTTTTCACTCTGCTCTTGACTGGATGCGATGATCCAGCTCCTGAGTTCCTGCCCTCTCTTCACTTCCTGCATAATGAACCGCAGAAGAAGCCCTTTCCTCCCCTCCATTGTTTTAGGTCAGGACCATTTATCACAGCCACAGAAAGGAAACTAAGACATATGGACTATTTATTGATGGACTTCCTGGAGGCAGAAATACAATTTCGATCAGTTATTTCCTTTTGTTGCTGTTTCATATCCAAGTGGCCAAATATAACGTGAAACTTTTGTATTGTTTCCATCTAAGAGTTTATAGTCATACATCTCATAGCTAGGCCTTTGATAACATTTTGAGTTTTCTTTCTTTTTTTACATTTTTTATTGTGTGTGTGCATTTGTGTTCATTATGAGGAGGCACATGCCATGGTGTATGTGACAAACTTGTAGAGCTAATTCTCTTCTTCCATGTTTACATGGGTTTCAGAGATTGAACTCAGGTGCCAGGCTTCCCCAGCAAGTGCCTATATCTACTGAACCTTCCTGCCTGTCCCTTGAGCTAATTTTTTGATTGGCATGAAATATTCAGTTTCCCAATAACATTTTTGGAAAGACTGTCATTTCCCCATAGAAATTTGGGTACCTTTTGTCAACTATTATTGGACCACATTGTACAGGAGTTCATCCTGGGTTTTTTATCCTTCTGGTCTGTATGTCTATAATTGTAACAGCACCACACTGTTTTGATTATTGTAGTTTTGTAGTAAACTTTGAACCAGGTGTGAGTCCTTCTAGCTAGTTTGGCTTTGATACAATGCCTCCAGCTGGGACTGGCTTCTACCCCCTTCAGTAGCCTAATCCTGCCCACCACCCCATGCGTGCTGCGACTACAGGCATGCACTACCACGTTCAGTCTCACGTAGTGCTGGGGATTGAACCTAGGGCTTCATACGTAGGTAGGCAAGCATTCTACTAGTTGAGCTACGTCCCCAGCACTTTAGTTTTGTTGTTTTTAGAGGTTTGTTGGCTACTTAGGATCCCTTAAAATTTTGTAAAAAAAAAAAAAGGAAATAAATAAAAAGCCATTACGATTTCATAATAAGAATTGAATCTCTAGTCAATATTAACATTTTAATTAATTTATATCAATGTTAAATCTTCCAATCGACAAGTGTGGATGTGTTTCCATGATTTTTTAAATTATTTTTATTTTATGTACATTGGTGTTTTGCCTGCATGTATGTTGTCTATGTGAGGGTGTCTGATTCCCTGGAACTGGTGTTACAGACAGTTGTAAGATTGCCATAAGGGTGCTGGGAATTGGACCCCAATCCTCTGGAAGAGCAACCAATGCTCTTAAACACTGAGCCATCTCTCTAGTCCCGATTTTTTTTTTTCTGAGTCGGAACTTCTCTGTAACTTTGGAGCCTGTCCTTGAACTTGCTCTTGTAGACCAGGCTGGCCTCACAGAGATCCTCCTGCCTCTGCCTCCCGAGTGCTGGGATTAAAGGCGTGCACCGCAGCCCTGATTTTTTAAGGATTTTTTCACTCTGTACCCCTGGCTTGCCAAGAACTCACTCTGTAGAGCAGGCTGGCCTTCAAGTTAAGATGTCTCCCTCAGAGTGCTGGGACTAAAGACGTGTTCTGGCTCTCCCTGTGTTTTCGTGTCTTGTCTCTTTCATCATTGTTTTATTGTTTCCATAGTAGTTGTAATATAGTTTTTATAGAATCCTTAGGATTTTCTATGTAGACAGTCATACTTTATAGAAACTGGCAAGTTTATTTATTTTTAGTTTTTTGGTAGTCTTGTCTTACAGCAGACTCCAGCCAATACCACTATTAGATTTTTATTTCCTGTATCTTACTTCCTGTCCTTTAACATAGATCCCATTGGTAAATACAGCCTGATGCCCTGGCACTCTTGTAAGCCTCGCACTTAGGAGATGGAGATCACTCTGCTGTAGCTAGTTTGAGGCTAGCTTGGGCTAAGTGAGATCCTGTCTCAAAAACCAAAACACAACAAGTCCCATTTCATAACTAAGCTTCTTTAGACACTAGCTATTGTCTGGTCCTTAAGTTCTTGAGCAGACTTGTAAGCTACTTTTAAGTCCTTGTCAATAAATATCTAGGTGGCGGGGTGTCCTCCCTCTGTTCTTTCTAGGAACAGAGCTCTGGACCTTGAGGGGTTAGGCAAGTGCCTGCCACTGAGCCGCATCCCCAGCCCTGGGGTCGCCGTCTAGTGACTTTTTCTTGACCATGTATTATAGTTTCATTCTTTATATGCCTAATACATGACTTTACTGGATTTTGTTTTGTCCTTTCCTTATTATAGTAAGCATGAAGGTGACAGTTTTAATATTAATTATATAACTATAGACTAATCTGCAAATACCCAAATCAAAATGATTGCTGTATTCACCCCCAGTTTTATAAAAACCTCAAACAGCCAACTATGGTGGTACACACCTTTAATCCCAGCACTCAGGTGGATATAGAGGCAGGTAGATCTTTGTGAGGTAGGGGCCAGCCTATTCCACGTGGCCAGCTCCAGGCCAGCCAAGATGCATAGTGAAATCTAGTCTTAAAATAAATCCTTCAACAACCCCACATCGGACATAGGACTGATCTCCAAAATATACAAAAAACTCAAGGAACTTGATAGCAAAAGAACAAATAATCCAATAAAAAGAATGGGGTCCAGACTTAAACAGAAAAGTCTCAAAAGACGAATCTCAAAGGGCTGAAAGACACACAAAGAAATGCTCAACATCCTTAGCCATCAAAGAAATGCAAACCAAAACAGCTCTGAGATTCCATCTTACACCTGTCAGAAGGGCCAAGATAAAAAACAATAATGACAGCTTATGCTGGAGAGGGTGTGGGGTAAGGGGAACAATCCTCCATTGCTGGTGGGAATGCAAACTTGTACAGCTGCATTGGAAATCAGTATGGTGATTTCTCAGAGAATTAGGAAACAACCTACCTCAATACCCAGCAATACTGCTCTTGGGTATATATCCAAAAAATACTCAATTGTATCACAAGGACATGTGCTCAACTATGTTCATAGCAGCATTATTTGTCATAGCCAGAACCTGGTAACAACCTAGATGCCCCTTTACTGAAGAATGCATAAAGAAAATGTGGTACGTTTACACATTGGAATACTACACAGCAGTAAAAAATGACATTTTGAAATTTGCAGGCAAGTGGATGAATCTAGAAAAACATATTGAGTGAGGTTAACCAGACCAAGAAAGACAAATATCATATGTATTTACACATAAGTGGCTTTTAGACTTAAAGCAAAGAAAAATCAGCCTACAGCACACAATCCCAGAGAAACTAGACAACAAAGAGGACCCTGAGAGAGACATACATAGATCTACATAGGAAGGTAAAGACAAGATCTCTGAGTAAATTGGGAGCTTGGGGGTCATGGGAGAAGGTAGAAGGGGAGAAGGAAGGAAGGGTGAGCGTGGAAAAAAATGTATAGCTCAATAAAAACAATAAAAAAGGAAAACGATCAGCTTAGTGCTAGTGACGGTGCACACTTTTAATCCTAGCACTTAGGAGGCAGAGACATGCGGATCTGAGTTTGAGGCCAGCCTGGTCTACTAAGTAAGTTCCAGGACAGATGCCAAAGCCACAGAGAAACCCTGTTTTGGAAAACCAAAAAATAAAATGTTCAGAAGAGTAGAAACAACTAAAACTTATATCTATGCTCTCTGGTGTGTAAAGATTCAGAGTTGTGGTGTCTTGTTTCTTCTAGCCCCTCTCAGTAGACAAAGGTGGGACATGCATTTGAAAAATCAGTGGTGGTTTAATCGGTGTTTTTAGTTGTGATTATAACTTTTTCCAGTTTCTAGCTTATCTCTAAAAATGATACTTCGTGCAGTTTTTAATTTTCGTTTGTATGAATGGTTGTTTGAATAAGGATGGCTTTCATAGGCTCATAGATTTGAATGCTTCGTCACTAGGCATTATTTGAAAAGATTAGGAGGTATCGGAGGAAGTGTGTCACTGGGGATGGACTTTGAAGTTTTCGAAAACCCAAGCCAGGTCCAGTGACTCTCTTCCTGCTTCCTGTGGCTCAAGATATAGAACTCTCAGCTCCTTCTCTAACACCGTGTCTGCCTGTGTGCCATCATCTTCCTGCCCTGGTCTGATGATAGTGGTCTAAACAAACCACTGAACTGTAAGCCAGCCAAATTAAATGTTTTCCTTTCCAAGAGTTGGCTGTGCTCATGGTGTCTCTTCACAGCAATAGAACACTAAGACAATATGTATCTGGGTGTATGCCATGTATGATGGTGTCCTTGGAAGATGGAAGATGGCATCAGATCACCTGTAACGAGTTACAGGTGGTTTTGAACTTCCTGGCTTGGGGTCTGGGAATGAACTCAGGTCCTCTGGAAGTGGAGCAAGTGATCTCAGCTGCTGCTTTCTCTCCGGCCTCTTGTAGGTCTTTTAATTCCATTTTAATTTATTTTTTGCATATGTGTGCCACAGCAGGCATATGGAGGTCAGAGGACAACTTAACAAAAGTTTTCTCCTACTTTTTGAGTTCCAGGGATCAAACAATTTAGGTCTTCAACCTTGACAGCAGGCACCTTTATGGCAGAGCCATCTCACTGGCCTGGTTTTTAAAAATAATAATATATAACAAGGCATATTTAGATAGCTCTGACTTTAATCTTCTACTCTACTCTTCCTTTCCCCAAGTAATAATTTATATTTGTTTGATTTATATTATCCTTCCCCAGCTTTTCTTGAGTGGGGCGGGGCGTCATGTTAAGACTGGGGACCAGGGCCTTGCCCATGTTAGTTAGGTGCTTGCTCCCACTCAGCATTCCTCGTCCCTCTCCACTCTCCCTCTAGCCCACTTTCAAGATATGGAATCGTAGCTCAGACTAGCCCTTGAACTCACTGTGTTGTAGGTACAGATGATGTTTAACCCCTGTTCTCCTGAGTGCTGGGATTACAGGTGTATGCCAACACATCCCATTTTATGACATGCTGGAGATGAAACGAAAATGACATGCATGCTAGGCAAGTGTGTTACCAACTGGGCTACATCTCCAGCCCCTATTTCCCTGTTGAATAAATAATAAATGTTCACATGCAGTGCATCGTATGTGACTTTGGACTTAGCATGACTGCGGTGACGAGGGAATGAGGAAAGGATGGATAAAGACACATGAATGTAAAGACTGGGATATGGTGGGTTGTGTGCACTCTGAAGGAGCATCGCCAAGTATGCAGTGAGTTCATTAAGTACAGCAGGTCCATGAGGGGTTAGCTAGTCTCAAAGGAGTCTTTGTATCAGAGCCATAATGAGTTGCAGTCATGAAGGAGGAGAAGCTGTAGTTGCTAGTTTTTATACGCACTGCCACCATCCACAGTCCAACGGGGGGAAGGCTTTGCTGATTCTCAAGACTCTGAGGCACTGGTGTCCTTGGCATGCCTGTGCCCATGTCAGCCATACACATTCACATAGGACTTTCTCTGCTCCTTACACACTCACTCAGCTTCCTTGGCTCCCCACACTTATGGTCTTTTTTGTTGTTATTGTTTATTTTTATTTTTTTGGTTGTTGTTGCATTTTATTTATTTATTTATTAAAGATTTCTGCCTCCTCCCCGCCACCGCCTCCTATTTCCCTCCCCCTCCCCTAATCAAGTCCCCTTCCCTCGTCAGCCCGAAGAGCAGTCAGGGTTCCCTGCCCTGTGGGAAGTCCAAGGACCACCCACCTCCTTCCAGGTCTAGTAAGGTGAGCATCCAAACTGCCTAGGCTCCCACAAAGCCAGTATGTGTTGCATGTTTTTTGAGACAGGATGTCTACATGGCCCTGGCTGTCCTAGAACTCATTCTGTAGACTAGGCTGGTCTCAAACTCACTGATCTGTCTGCCTCTGTCTCCTGAATGCTGGGGTTAAAGTGTGCTACCACCACCTCCCAGCAGGTTTTTCCTTTCTTAAAAAGAGGTTATAAATATTGTCAATAGCTTGCTTATGTATATCATGTATATTTTTGAAATATTAGAATAAGGGCGGCTGTTTGCCTTTTTGGGGGGTAGTGATTGAAAAAGGTGTTAGATTCATAGTCTAGATTGGTTTCAAACTTGTGATCCCCCTACCTCAGTCTCCTAAGTCCTACTATTATACATACATGTGTGTTCCCATGCTCAGTATCCTATTTGGTTTTTGTTTTTTTTGTTTTTGTTTTTTTTTTTTTTTTGGTTTTTCGAGACAGGGTTTCTCTGTGGTTTTGGAGCCTATTTGCTTTTTTAATTGTACACATAATTAAGAATTGCTTGCCTGTGCTTGTTTGTGTTTGGGGTTTGGGGATTTTATCTTCAATCTGACCTTTTTTGGTTTTGTGTGTATATATATATATATATATTGACAAGGTCTCATTATATGGCTCTGGTTTTTCTGAAACTTACTGCTTAGACCAGATTGGCATCAAACTTACATAGATGTGCCATCACACCAGCTTCAGACTAACCATTTAAGACAAAGGTGCTTGCCCAGAATTTGTTAGACCACTTAAGGTTAGACACAGTTACTGTAATTTAAGGGTTTGTATCACATGGCTCTACTTCTAAATCATACATTATTTTGTCTTCTTAAAATACTACAGATTGAAGATCCAGGTTGCTTTTGGGTAATTATAAAAGGATGTCGTCAGTTTTTAGAACAAGAAGTCGACTATCAAAAACTGAACAATGCCATGAATGACTTCTATAGCAGCATGTCTCAAGACATAGAAATAAAGCCGTTAATGCTGGAAGAAGGGCAGGTATGTGCTTTCTTACTGTTGCCAAGACCTACATGTATGTGCCTTGATCTTAGTGTTTAAAACAGCATTCAAAATGCATAGTGTTCTGTACCTAGCTGGTGAACTACTTAGCACCTCGTATTGTCATGTGGTACTAGTTTGTTTTGTGCAAGGTAGAACCTAATCTGGAAGAGGATGGCTAGGCCAGGCTGTCCTGCTGTGTGAGCCCCGGGATCAACTCCATTGGCCTTGGCAGCAGGGACTTGACTAGCAGAGCTGTCTCCCTGACTGACTTTAGAAGCACGTGGTCTGAGACAGCACAGGCTGTCTTCCTAGGACTGGACACCAGAGTGTTCTAGACCCACATATACAGCATATACACATACTCAGCATACAGGACATGGGATTTTAGTTAGTGTTGGTGCTTCTTTTTCTCTTCTCTTTCCTTATTTTTTTGTTACCTAGACTTTGGGCAACTTGAGTTTCTTCATTCTACTTGTTCCATGTTGTGGTCCCTCTGTGTTCATACAACATAAACTCCATTGTACACAGTCTGGCCCTCTCGTCGGGCCTTTTTCAGGAAAGTGGACTTTTATAATACATGATAGGAAAATATTTATAATCTTGTTTTGAGAAAAAACTAGAAAACATTTGTGTCCCCCCCCCTTTATCATTAGTAACATGATGTCTTATTTTTCATGTAACACTAAATGCTAACTTCAGAAATGAAGCTAGATCAGTTGGTCTTAAGAGGTGTTTGCCCGCATGTGCGTTTGTGTTTAACTTCCCCTTTTGTCCTTTATGTTTGGTGCGGGCCGATAGCGGAGTTAAATGTTTTGGATAGATTTGATCTCTTTCCTTCAATAGCATTTATATTTTGCACTTCCTGTTGTATTAATTTGGGACATGAGACTGACTTGGGAGGTGTAAAATGCCGTGGATGGATATTGTGTCAGCCTGGTCTGCCATCAGAGTTTCACTTGCCCAGCTCTCACCAGTAGCAGCCATTACTGCCTACGCCAGCTTTTTCATTCGCGTTTGACATAAGATTTTTCTCATTCCCTTTGCATTCTGAGTTAGGCTTCATAAAGCCAAAAGTAGAACTTTTCCTTTTTTATTAACTAATATGAAATAGTTAACTGGGTGTGTTAGCACACACCTTTAATCCCAGCACTTAGGGGAGCAGGGAGGCAGAGGCTCTCAGAGTTCAAGGGCAGAGAGCCATGGCTAGAGAGACTCTGCCTCAACAGCAGAAGAGAAAATAAACAATTTGTAGTGTAAACACTTAATGATTTAAAAAAAAAAAGTATGAGTGCTGTATCTGCATGTATAACTTTATGCCAGAAGAGGGCACCAGATCCCATTATAGATGGTTGTGAGTCACCATGTGGTTGTTGGGAGTTGAATGCAGGACACCCTTAAGAATGATTCTTATTCTTAAAAATTTTCATCTTGATGAGTGGTGCCAGTTACCACCCCCTTTTGGTACTGAGTCTTCTCTATATTTACTTAACTTTAGTTTTGTGCTGGGGATGAATCTATGTACTTTACAGTACCATTTTGATCTCTGCCTTCTTAGTGCTTTCCCTTCTTTAAAATAAAATGCGTCTATTAGATGTCCCTTGATCCAGGGACATGGTTCTGCTTCCCCCAGAAGGGACGTGCTTCTGTTAAAGCTGCGTCTCTGCATGTGGGCTGACAGAAGATAGGGCAGCAGGCAGCAGACAAGAGTACAGCTTGTGTATGGCCCAAGACCATGGTAATTTTGCAGGATCCTGGGCATTTCACATCCACGAAATAGGAATAGGAGCCCAACTCCAGGCTGCCTCATGTGTTTCTCTAGAAGAGGCATGAAGAAGGCTTTTTTTTTTTTTTTTTTTTTTTTTTTTTTTGAGTCAGGGTTTCTCTGTGGTTTTGGAGCCTGTCCTGGAACTAGCTCTGTAGACCAGGCTGGTCTCGAACTCACAGAGATCCGCCTGCCTCTGCCTCCCGAGTGCTGGGATTAAAGGTGTGCGCCACCATCGCCTGGCTAGAAGGCATGTTTTTATAGGGAGGTTGTTACCACCATAAAGGTGTGTGTTTTGGATAACAGGGATGGAAGCTGGGTTTCTGCATATAGATATATTACTGAACTACAACCTGTTCATTATTTGTGGTCAGTGTTATTCTTGGTAGATTGCTGTAGAATAATAGTTTCAAAATCCCCTGGCTGTGGGAGTTAACTGTGCCTTTGATTTTGACATTCAATAGAAATGCCCTTCATTCTTTGTCAGAATTTCTCTCCAGCCACAGATGTTTGAACTGTATAAAGTTCTTGTGGAATGGCTGTACTGTTTTCAAACTTCAGTTTGCAGGGTGGCTTTGTGAAAGCCTGTGGTTAGCACATGGTTTGTCTGGCTGTGGGCTGCCAGTCAAGTAGCCTGTGGCCTGGTGGGGACCTGTGGTCCAGTAAGGATGATAGGGGCTGTCACTTTATCACGGTGATTCCTTTAAGAGCAGCTGCAGGCATTCAGAAAGTAGTTTTTGAAGACTCAGTATATGGTAGGCAATGTACATTGACCAAACAAACACCAAAAGACAAAGTTCATATGGTTGTAGATCTAGGGACTATTTATGCCAGACAAAAATCAGACATTACAGTGTGTGAGGCCACGAGGAAAAGGAACCTGGGGTTGAAGTTTCCGAGAGCCATTTGTAGGCTTTGTTCCCTGACTGAAGAAGAAAAAACAATGCATTTTAACTTGCATGTTGTACAGACAGCCTGGTCAATGAGCTACCCTGCTAAGACCCCAGTGGAGAGCTTGAGTTACTGCAGAGTTTAACTTACGAGTTAGGTCTAGGAATTATTGGTAACAATAATAAGCTAACATCATGACAATATACTATAATAAAAATCCACTCTAAGGCTATTTTTAGGTGATATGAAGGGTATTTGAACCAAGTGCTTCAGTCTTATGACAGCTGGCCTGATGTCCAAGACAGGACGACTTCTAAGTGATTAAGAGGCCAGTACTGTGGCACACACCTTTGATCCCAGCACTCGGGAAGCAGAGGCAGGCGGATCTGTGAGTTAGAGGCCAGCATGGTCTACAGAGGGAGTTCCAAGATAGGCTCCAAAACTACTGAGAAACCCTGTCTCAACCCCCCTTCCCCAAAAAAGAGAGAGCCCGGTACTGTTTACATAGTATGTTCTGGGCAAGTGAGCACTTCATGTTCTAGGCTCAATGGTGCAAGATGATATAAAATTTCCTTATGGTACTTGGTGCAGAGGATAATTAAAATTATGAATTGTTTACTTCTGGAACTTTCATTATCAGACCACAGTTAACTGAGCCACAGAAACTGTTAGGAAAAGGAAGTACTGTAGTAAGAAAACATTTCCCGAATTCTTTGCTGACAGATGGAGACCCCACAGCTCTCTCCTGTAATGCTCTAAGGGACGTTTTGATGTCTCATATGTGACTGAGATTTGCTTTCGTTTTGCAGGTGTGTGTGGTATACTGTCAGGAGCTGAAGTGCTGGTGCAGGGCTGTGATTAAGTCAATCGTCTCTTCCGCAGACCATTACCTGGCAGAGTGTTTCCTTGTGGATTTTGCCAAGTGCATTCCAGTAAAATCCAAAAAGTACATATGTGTTAATCTTGCCTCATCTACCTTAAGGAGACAGCAGTCTTAAAGGAAAATGTCAGCAAAGAAAATACATTGAATTCTTTAAAGAATTTTAAAGATGTGTTTCAATTATGAGTACATGTGTGTTGTGTATGTCTGTGTGTGTGTGTGCACCAGAAGACCATTGGATCCTTGGAGCTGGAGTTCTGGGCAGTTGTGAGCAACCTAATGTGTGTGACAGAACCAAATTCAGCACCTCTGCCGTAGCAGCACATGCTCTTAACTGCTAAGCCATCTCTCCATCAAAGTCAGTGTCAGTTTTTAAAGGAAGGAGAGACTTGGAAGCACAGGTGGTTAGAATGGGGCTTTTAGGAGGCGTCTGTTCTGAAAGCATAAGGCAATCTCTTGGTGCCTCTGCCAACTCCTATCTAGTCTGTTCCCTTAGCTTGCTCATGGACACAGGAGCTCTTAGAGGGAGAGAGATGACTCAAGAATGAAGCTGCCAACAGGTAAAAACTTTTTGTCTCATAGAAGAGAAGGATGTAGACCAATGTAAGGGTACACAGGACAGAGTATGCATGCATACATTTGCAGTTAGCCTGCATAACACAGGGAGGGCATGACCATCTCTTAGGGTACGACACAGGAGCCAACGATCTACTGGGCAGGCTGCTCCAAGTCTGGGACCGATTGTTATAGTTTACTGAAACTAATAGGCCAGTCTTTGTATTTGTGCCAACTTTTCCAGTTTCCATCCCAGAGTAAAGGTGGTCAGTTAAGTAAATATAAGGGCCCTCTTCCCATGAATAAGGCTCTTAACAAAGGAGGCTAGAGTTACATCAGTGGCATGCGACAAATGGGACATGAGGGTTTACAGAGCACAGGAAGAAAGCAGCTTTGTCCACAGCTTTACAACTTCGATGGTTTTGTTTGGTTTTTATTTAGGACAAGAGAATTACATGATGAAAGAGCCATGTCATTCAGTAAAGCCACCATTTTATCATCTCCCTAGATAACAAGGCTGTGTGTCTGTCTATGAAGGGAATGGATGGTGGGGACAGAAAGAGAGCCAGCTGACATTTGAAATGTCGGGTAATGTGACTGCTAGTTTGAAGAAAAATGGAGTAACTGACTTTACAGCTTATCAAATCCCAGTCCTCCAGCTCTAGTGGCATCAGTGTCTGTTTACAGAAACTTTTGTGTGAGTCTGAGATGGCGTGTGTGTTGGGTTGACAGTTAAGCCACAGCACACACAGGGAGGCTAGAGGACTGCTTGAGGAGTCAGTGCTCTCCTTCCCTTCTGAGACCATGTGGGTGTCTCAGGCTTGGCGGCAGGTGTGTTGACCCTCTGAGGCACCCCACCTGCCTTAATTGGTGTTTTAAAATCTGAAACAGCCAGGCATGGTGACGGTGACACGTGCCTGTAATCCTAGCACTTAGATATGGAAGCAGGCCTGTCTGAACTATGTGAGACCTTGTATAAAAGAATAAAAATAAAATTTTATATAAAGTTCTTCCCAGGTTCAGTTGTTGTTCAGTATTTCTCACCATTTGTAGCCTCACTGGACATATTTTTTTTTTGTCTAAACTCCTGTACCATGGAATTTTAATAACAGATTATTTATGTATAATATTTAGACATATTAAAAACTCCTGCTCCTTAGGGAACAGCTTAAGGCCCCTTGGTTAGGTGTCTCTAAGGATTGTTGTAACTATACAAGAAAAAGGAAGAATTGTTTCCTATATGAAGTATATTATGTAAGTATGTACTAAATGAATTATGTGTGATTTTTACTTATAATAGAATTATTTGTATTTTACTTTTAAGCATCCGAGTTGCAGTAGAATCCTTTATGCAGCTTCCTTATAGAGCAAAAAAGTTCAGACTTTATTGTACCAAGCCTGTGACATTGCACATTGACTTCTGTGAGGACAGCGCTGAGATTATGTAAGTACAGCTTCTTTTTGACCGCTTAAAATGTTGACCCCCTAGTCCTGCGTGTTCCCACCATTTGTTATGAAGAACACAATCAGAGAAGGTAAAGTCTAGTTAACTAAAAATTAATTCCATAGCTGGACAGTGGTGGTGTGTGCCTTTAATCCCAGCACTCAGGAGGCAGAGGCAGGCGGATCTCTGAGTTTGAGGCCAGCCTGGTCTACAGAGCTAGTTCCAGGACAGACCCCAAAGCTACACAGAGCAACCCTATCTTAAAAAAACAAAAATTGATTCCACTTGCATGCAGGTTTGAGCCAGTAGCTCTGTAATACTATGGTGTGTGGCATTGTGAAGTCACTGTTTGCCTCCAGATTAAATCTTAACTAAAACAATCTGACATAAGACAGGCTTATTGAATAAGGGGATAGGATCTAATGTCTTGGGTATCTTAGAAATAAAAGACAATAGCCTACCACAAAAAATACTTGAAGTTTTTACACTTTGGTTCTGAGTATGCAGCATGGGAAATGAGATGAGAAGGCAATGAAAGAACGAACTCTGCTGATTTCAGGGAGTTTGAGTATAAGGGTGATAGCAGTTTGCTTTATATTCAGACAAATGGACAGTAATTTTACCGAGCACTTTGGTTGTTTCGGGGATGAGTAAAGTAGCTGTTCTAGTGCAGTTTTTGTGTGTGGCAGCTCTCCAGTCACCTTCCTCTTTCTTTTATTTTGAGTGGATTTGGATACCACTTAGCTTCATTTGCCAACAAGATGAGTTATAAGTTGCTTTATCTGATTTTTTTCTAAAATTAAAAACAGGGAAATTAGGATGCTGTGATAATTAAAGGAAATATAATAAGCCAGGTATGGTGGCATATTCCTGTAATCCACATTCTCAAGGCTGATGGAAGAGGACTGCTTGTTGCCTTAGTAATACTGTGAGATTTGGTTTTTTTTATTATTGAGAAAAAAAAAGTTTCCGCCTCCTCCCAGCCTCCCATTTCCCTCCCCCTCCCCCACCCCTCTCCCCCTCCCTCTCCAATCCAAAGAGCAGTCAGGGTTCCCTGCCCTGTGGAAAGTCCAAGGTCCTCCCCCCTCCGTCCATGTCTAGGAAGGTGAACAT